GCTTCATTCCGTATTCCAGAGCCAAATTTGCCTGTTACTCCAGGTGTTTCTTGACTTCCTACTTTTGCATTCCAGTCCCCTATAATGAAAAGGACATCTTTTTTGGGTGTTCATTCTAAAAGGTCTTGTAGGTCTTCGTAGAACTGTTCAACTTCAGCTTCTTCAGCATTACTGGTTGGGGCATAGGCTTGGATTACTGTGATATTGAATGGTTTGCCTTGGAAACGAACAGAGGTCATTCTGTCATTTTTGAGATTGCATCCAAGTACTGCATTTCGGACTCTTTTGTTGACTATCATGGCTACTCCATTTCTTCTAAGGGATTCCTGCCCACACTAGTAGATATAATGGTCATCTGAGTTAAACTCACCCATTCCAGTACATGTTAGTTCGCTGATTCCTAGAATGTCGACATTCACTCTTGCCATCTCCTGTTTGACCACTTCCAATTTGCCTTGATTCATGGACCTAACATTCCAGGTTCGTATGCAATATTGCTCTTTACAGCATCAGACCTTTCTTCTATCACCAGTCCCATCCACAACTGGGTATTGTTTTTGCTTTGGCTCCATCCCTTCATTCTTTCTGGAATTATTTCTCCACTGATCTCCAGTAGCATATTGGGCACCTACCAACCTGGGGAGTTTCTCTTTAGTATCCTATCATTTTGCCTTCTCATACTGTTCATGGGGTTCTCAAGGCAAGAATACTGTGAACCAAGAACTTCCAGATGTTCAGCTGGTTTTAGAAAAGGCAGAGGAACCAGAGATCAAATTGCCAATATCCACTGGATCATCGAAAAAACAAGAGAGATCCAGAAAAACATCTATTTCTGCTTTATTGACTATGCCAAAGCCTTCGACTGTGTGGATCACAATAAACTGTGGAAAATTCTGAAGGAGATGGGAATACCAGACCACCTGACCTGCCTCCTGAGAAACAGTTAGAACTGGACAGTTAGGAAGCAACAGTTAGAACTGGACATGGAACAACAGACTGGTTCCAAATAGGAAAAGGAGTACATCAAGGCTGTATATTGTCACCCTGCTTATTTAACTTATATGCAGAGTACATCATGAGAAACGCTGGGCTGGAGGAAGCACAAGCTGGAATCAAGGTTGACAGGAGAAATATCAATAACCTCAGATATGCAGATGACACCACTCTTATGGCAGAAAGTGAAGAGGAACTAAAGAGCCTCCTGATGAAAGTGAAAGAAGAGAGTGAAAAAGTTGGCTTAAAGCTCAACATTCAGAAAACCAAGATCATGGCATCTGGTCTCATTACCTCATGGGAAATAGATGTGGAGACAGTGGAAACAGTATCAGACTTTATTTGGGGGGGCTCCAAAATCACTGCAGATGGTGACTGCAGCCATGAAATTAAAAGACGCTTACCCCTTGGAAGGAAAGTTATGACCAACCTAGACAGCATATTAAAAAGCAGAGACATTACTTTGCCAACAAAGGTCCATCTAGTCAAGGCTATGGTTTTTCCAGTGGTCATTTATGAATGTGAGAATTGGACTGTGAAGAAAGCTGAGTGCTGAAAAATTGATGCTTTTTAACTGTGGTGTTGAAGAAGACTCTTGAGAGTCCCTTGGACTGCAAGGAGATCCAACCAGTCCTTCCTGAAGGAGATAAGCCCTGGGTGTTCATTGGAAGGACTGATGCTGAAGCTGAAACTCCAATACTGAGCTGAAACTCGAATGGCCACCTCATTCGAAGAGTTGACTCATTGGAAAAGACTCTGATGCTTGGAGGGATTGGGGGGAGGAGGAGAAGGGGACGATAGAGGATGAGATGGCTAGATGGCATCACCGACTCGCTGAGCATGAGTTTGAGTAAACTCCGGGAGATTGTGATGAACAGGAAGGCCTGGAGTGCTGCAATTCATGGGGTCGCAAAGAGTCGGACATGACTGAGCGACTGAACTGGGACTGGGACTTCTCACTCCTAGACTGTCCACCCCTAATGAATAAAAAAACTCCATTTTGAGCTACTCCCTCTGGCCTTAAGGAGCCAGCAGCGAGATGAAGGGTGTACAGAGTTATAAAGAGAAATCCAAATTGTAGCCTTAGATTGCTAATCAGTAATAAAATATCCCTCTAACCCTAGTCCTTCCCTGAACTGAGAGACTGAGAAGGTAAAGCAAAAACTGTGCTGGGCTAGCACCCGACCTTCTCGGGCCTAGTACCCCAGTCCCCAACACAAGGCACCTGCAGAGACCACTCAGTCATCCAACCTGAGAGAGAGAGGGTCCAGTTCCCATCCCATCCGCAGGCTGTCACTCTGGGGAACAACAGTTGTTGAAGGCCTAGATACATTTTTCTCTGAAATAGGTAAGGATTCAAAGAGAACCAGAAAGGGCCGTTTAATCTCTACCTCAGGCAAATAGCTGAGGCAGCAGTAACTGCCACCAGGAGGAGGAGCTAAGCCCCCAAAACTATGGAAGGACATGGAAGCAGGAGAGGAGCGAGGTAGCCAGGAGGAGGCACTGATCCAGAGGGCTGGGGAATGGGGTCCTCCTCCGATCTGCCCAACAGTCACTGGGGGGATGGGAGAAGACCCAGCTTTCCTGAGGCTTAAAAGTCCTCCAACCTTCACCTTGGCAGCCAGCAACCATGGAGCTTCTGGCAAAGTGAAAGTGTTAGTCACTCACTTTCCAGTGTCTAAGTCTGTGTGACCCATGGATTGTAGCCCACCAGGCTCCTCTGTCCATGGGATTCTCCAGGCAAGAACACTGGAGTAGGTTGCCATTTCCTCCTCCAAGGTATCATTCCTGATCCAGGGATCAAACCTGGGTCTCCTGCATTGCACACAGATTTTTTACCATCTGAGCCATGTGACCAACAGTTTACAAACCCCTTCAGAGACTTTTATCCACCTCAAATCCAGGGGTAGGGATCATCGTCTGCATTCTACAGAGAAGTAAACTGAGTACGCAGAGACGAAAAGCCAGAACCCATTCCAAGCACATATTCTTCTGCGAAGTCTTAGAGCCTCGGTTGAGAAAAGTCCCTGGACCCTGAGAAGGGCAGGACTAAAGGCCGACCAGGAAGGCTCTTGGCCCTGGGCCCCTTCCCAGCAGGCAAGTAGCACCGAGAAGCCCGGGTGGGATTCCAGCACACACGTGGATGCTTCTCAGGTTTGGGGCTGCAGGTCCAAACAAATAAGACAGGAAATTCCACATTTGCACAAATGGCCTTGCATTATTTTCCCCCGTGAAAAACTGCCGACTCCCAGACAAGGGTTTCCAGGCTGGGATGTGGCGCCTCCAGCTAGCCCTAGAGTTCCAGCCTCTCCTACTTAACTTGGGCCGGGTACCGGGCCCACTGCGAATTCCACGCCTCCATCACTTAACCAGAAAATCACCACTCAAAGCCCCACTTCAGATGGACTTGGGATCTTCCCGTCCAGAGCCGGAGGACGGGTCTGGAGTGGGGGCCACCCGTGGGGGAAAGGGGTTGTGGTCCAGAGACCAGCGCTGCCCGGCCGGTGCCGTCCTTAACGCGCAGGCCATAGGGGACGCTTCAGTGGTGAGATGGCTCCAACGGGTCGTCCAGGGACGTGTGCGGGGTGACGGCCTTGTCTTCCAGGGGGCCTTGGGCGGCCTGAGGCGGCAGCAGCAGGGCCAGGAAGTGCGGGTAGCGGCCTGGGCCTCCGCCGCTGCGGCGCTCGACCTGCTGCTTTAGCCCACGCCGCCCGCCTACCGCCTGCTCAAGCGGGCCCGGCGGTCCTTCGATCTGTGGCAGCCGGTGCCGCCGCCCGCATCCCCGCTCCTCCTGGTCCAACAGCGGCAGCACGGCTCCATGAGCCCCAGGTTCCCGCCCAGCAGGGCCTACCGGCGCGCCTCGAATTCCCGCAGCTTCAGAGGCTTGCGGGGCCACCTCGTGCAGCTGGTGCCCACAATGCCACCACAGGTCGCGCGCTGCCCTCCTTGTGCCGGTCGGCAGCGTCCAGGAAGCCGCAGAGCCCGCGCAGCTGCAGCTTGTCGTCCTGCAGCCACAGGTTCGCGTCCTGGAGGCCGAGATATTCGGCGGGAGCTGCCACAGCCGTCAGGTCACGTTGAGCATCAACATCAGGCCGCCGTGCTCCATCCAGCACGGGGCCCGCCTTCTGGGCCTCCTAACACTTCATCACTGCGCCGGCTCCTCCTCCGTCCAGGCAGCATTGGAGTAGCTGAGCCAGGTGCCTGATCCCGAGCCTTGCTGGTTTTCCAAAGGTCTGGTGAGGAATTACTTCTCGTTTTCATTTTTTGCTTTATGATGCAATACACTGGTCATAGAGACATTTAGGTCCCTTGCAGAGGGAATGACTACTACTCTGATTTTTCTCCCCAGGAAAGAGTTTCTCTCAGGACCCTTCGCCGCTATGTTTGTTGGTTTAATCAATTAAAATGAGGAGAACCAAAGAGAGAGAAGCTGCATTCCCCGCCCCCCTAATACTTGTTCCTCTTAGCAAGTTTAAATCATGATCTAAACAGTGAGGAAATGGAATCTATGTTGCAGAATTACTTCCTGTTAAATATTTGCTTCTTTTCATACTGTTGATTATTCATGCATGAATTGCTTGATTTCATAGTTGGTAAAGGGTTTACTTTATTCTAAGGAATATGTAAGGAATCATATCCATTCATGAGACTGTCTCATGTTTATTCTCTGAAATAAGCATTTGTTTTTTCTCTTTTCTTTTAGATGCTTTTAGTTACATTTATGTCTTTTAAAAAAAACATGTCTCTGTTGAAACCAGAAATGTGTTTATGTAACAAATGAAGTGGCTTCGAGTTGGGTTTCTGGAGAATTGTTATTTTAACTTTGTGCTACTGTGTTACAGTGGATTTTCATGGTGCTTGATGAGCTGTTTCTCTGCTAGTGCATTTGAAGTAATGAACATCTTTCTTCCTTAAAGGCAGTTAAAGCTGCCTTTTTTTTTTTTTTTTGGTAACCTGATTATAATGATTCAACAGGTCAATAATTAGAGGTGTTCCTCTTGTTGTTTTCAGCAGATGGTCCTGTAGCACCAGTTTCCGTTTCTCTTACCTGAGCTGCCTCTGGTTATAGTATAGGATTGGCAGTTCCCTCCTTCCACGGCTTCTGCGCTCATTGTTACCGCGTGTGCCTCTGGGGTCAGTAGCGCCTCGCCACTGCGGCTGGTGTTGCCGCTGCTGTGGCGGATGTTGCCATCCGGGGCTCTGGTGTGGCTGTCCCCTCGGCTACCTTTGTGGTCTCCTGGGATCGCAGCTCCACCACTCCAGGGAGAGGACAGAAGTGTCGGGGGAGCTATGGTCACAGGTTCCTCAGTGACGTCTGGAGTTGTTGAGTTCACAGGAGCTGCTGTGGATGCGCAAGGGGCCAGAGTCACGGATGCCTCTATGGCTAAAGAAATGGCGTCGCAGCTCTGCCGCTGCCTGTTTTCTTGTGGCTGCGGTTGCTCTTGCATCCTGGAGGCCTGAGTCCTGTGTGCCGCCTTTCCTGGGCTCTCTGGGACTGCGAGCCTAGCTCGGGGGCACCAGCCCTGCTTAGCCCTGGCTCTGCCTCCTCTGTTTCCAGTTCACCCATCTTTAGATGTGCCTATGTGTGGAATTCTCTGGTGTGTACTGGTGTGTTGGACAGAGGCACATTTGAATTATGAATGTTTTAGAATCCACCTGTAATGCAGGAGACCTGGGTTCAATCCCTGGGTTGGGAAGATCCCCGGGAGAAGGGAAAGGCTACCCATTCCAGTATTCTGGCCTGGAGAAGTCCATGTACTTTATAGTCTATGGGGTAACCAAGAGTCAGATACAACTGAGTGACCTTCACTTTCACTTCACTTTACTGATTGTAGATTGAAGGAGAGAGACAAAGAGAATGCCTGCACCACCGTGATGAGCTATGTGTTTACTTAAAATTTTTATCTGGTGTGTCTTATAAAAACTTTGATTTTAAACTTTTTACAATAGCATTTTATAGCTGTGACTTTGAAAAACTTAAACTTCTCCCACTCCACATATACAGTAGACACCATATCTTGAAATACGGGAGATTATCTCATTTACATTAATTGTAAAGATCTGTTATTGTTCTTTACTTTTGCCATTTCAATATCTTTGTTCTGTGTTCCTTTTTTTTGGTATTTTGCTGTTAAATAAATAATTACCAATTCACTTTGAGAAATACAACCTTAAATTGCATGTATCATTTGTGTCTACATATAGGAATTTACTCTCTTTATATTTGTTTACCCTCTCTCATTTAAATTCAGTTTTTAAATGATCTATATATTATACACTTAGAGCTATAGAAAACTGCACTGTAATTTTTCTTCGACTACCAAATAATTTAGAAAACTCAAATTTATTGTATTTACCTACATTGTAGTATATCATCCACAATATATATTATGCTTTGAACTTCAGTTTTTCTATGAAATCTCTTATACTTATGATTTTTATAAATCAAGTTCTCTTTCCATTATCACAAATGTAATTCTCTTACATGAAGGTAGTATATTTCACTTACATTCATTTTTAAAATCTATTTACTTCACTCTAGTCTTCACTTTTGCTTCACCTCATTTTACTCACTAAAGTCATTTTTTGTATTTTCTATGTATGTTCTATTTTTTTATGTTGTTTTAAAGGAAAATAATACTTCTGGTATTTCCATCTTTCAGAAGTATAAGCCTATGTTGCATCGTTTGTATCTGTAATTAGCAAGTGTATCACATTTTCCCCTTTCAACCTTTAAGATTCAACAAGTTATTCAAACTCATCTTTTACTTTTAGAGATAGTATTGTTCTCTGAGCCTTGTTAGATTATACATATCTGTCAGTTATTCTTATATATAAACAAATGACATGGAATGTAACAGAATTTTTCCAGAAAATATTTTTGTCACTTAACAAATAAGAAATAGAAGTCACTATAACTTTATAGATATTTAAATTATATTCTTTATATATCTATATGTAGAAAAGTTTATTACTTTAATTCTTAAAATTCATATCACACTTATGAGGATCATATATTTCTCCATGCTGTGTCATATTTTCTGTTGTGTTTTAAATGGTCATATCTGTTCACTTTGTTTCCTGCCATAGCGAGTTAATGTCTCCTTAACAAAGACTATCCCAAATTTTCAGTGAGTCTTTCCAAAGGCTTAGAGCCTCACTTTGAATAAAAAATTGTTTCTTTTAACAGTAATTGATTTTTAAAAAGAGTTTATAAAATATGAGGAAACAGGTTAAAAAAGAAATGGAGTGACGTGATGCAGGCAAGGACGTGCAGGACTGCACGGACTCCTGGAGGATTCTGGTTCCAGAAGCCAAGGCTGGCTCCAGCTGCAGTTTGCTGCCATCTGGTGGCTGTTGTCTGACTGAATACCAAGGCAAAGATTCTAGGTACTATGGTAGAGTGGAACTTCCAGAATGATGGTTAAGAATTCTAATTATTGCCTTGTTACCTGGTTTCCATCCCCATCAGATAGTCCTGAGGAGAGGAGCTTGGCTAATAATAACCAGAAATTTGCAAAGCCCCAAACACCTCCCTGTCTCCCAAGATAAAGTTGTCTCTGATACTGTGAGTCTTGTTTTCTTTCCTCCCCTCCTTTTATTATTTCCCTCACCAAAAATAAGTGCTTTGAGATCTCACCACTTGTTTCAAAAAACAGGTGAACATAAAATGGAAAATGTTTTCCAATTACATTATATCTGAATTTGTTTTATCTGGAGATCCCTTTGCATGGGTTTTATTGAATTTTCTTTAGCATTGTTATATATATATATATATAATATATATATATATATATATAAAACTTGTCTTATCATTAAAGGATGGCAGATTTTTCCTCAATTTTAAAAATCCTGAAGAGATTGTATAACATTGAAATTATTCACTGTTTCAAGCTTTCCAGTAATTAATGGGAATTGCCATCTGACAAAGGATTTTTTTTATCATAGGAAGAGTTTTGACTCATGATTCAATTATTTCAGTGGTTAGCAAAAGGGGTAATAATCACAATATTTAACAACTTTTTAAGTAATCATTTATATAAGTGCTTATATATCAAAGTAAATCAATAATTCAAAATAGTCCCTTTTGGAACCCTCTTATACTGTTGGTGGGAATGCAAATTAGTACAGCCACTACGGAGAACAGTGTGGAGATTTCTTAAAAAACTGGAAATAGAACTGCCATATGACCCAGCAGTCCCACTTCTGGGCATACACACCGAGGAAACCAGATCTGAAAGAGACACATGCACCCCAATGTTCATCGCAGCACTGTTTATAATACCCAGGACATGGAAGCAACCTAGATGTCCATCAGCAGATGAATGGATAAGGAAGCTGTGGTACCTATACACCATGGAATATTACTCAGCCATTAAAAAGAATTCATTTGAATCAGTTCTAATGAGATGGATGAAATTGGAGCCCATTATACAGAGTGAAGTAGGCCAGAAAGATAAAGACCAATACAGTATACTAACACATATATATGGAATTTAGAAAGATGGTAATGATAACCCTATATGCAAAACAGATAAAGAGACACAGATGTACGAAACAGACTTTGGGACTCTGTGGGAGAAGGCGAGGGTGGGATATTTCGAGAGAACAGCATTGAAACATGTATATTATCTAGGGTGAAACAGATCACCAGCCCAGGCTGGATGCATGAGACAAGTGCTCGGGCCTGGTGCACTGGGAAGACCCAGAGGGATCAGGTGGAGAGGGAGGTGGGAGGGGGGATCAGGATGGGGAATACATGTAAATCCATGACTGATTCATGTCAATGTATGGCAAAAACCACTACAATATTGTAAAGTAATTAGCCTCCAACTAATAAAAACAAATGGAAAAAAAATAGTCCCTTTTGTATTCTTACTACAGTTATTACTAGTGAAGAAATTTTTAACACAAACACTAAATTTTTCTAATCATTTATTGATTTTTTTAAACAAATTGCTGTGGGAAAACTTTGGTTCGACATATTTCGCTAAATGCTGTCTGAGCCACAGTTTGAAGTTGTCCCTAATGTTATCAGAGGGGACTAGACAGACCAAACCATTACAACAGTTAGTTGTCCCATTAAATTTAAAGTTGTCAGCTGTTGTATTTGAAAAATATAATCTTCAACAAAATTGTTTATAGTGCTGAATCCTTGCCAGGTTTCTGCTAAACTAATATCAATTATATTTACAATTTTCTATCTCCTTGTCTTTGTTCCTGCTCTTCAGATAAAGTCTTTCAGACTTTCATCATTAAGGGTGATATTATTACCCCTAGATTTTTCACAGATGCCTTTTATCAGGCTGAGGAAAGTTGCTGAGAGTTATCAGGATTAAATGTCTGTTTTTGTGTATATATATTCTCCTTTCCACTTTGTTAATATAGTAAATTACATTATTTTTGAACAATAAATCATTTATGCATTCCTGGGATAGTGTCTGTTTCATCCTAGTGTCTTATCCCTTTGACATTCCTTGGTCCTCTGTTGGATTGAAATTTACTAAATTTTTGTTTAGAAATTTCACATTAATGTTCACAACAGATGTTGATCTGTATTTTCTTCTCTTGTTCTGTGTCTGTCTGGTTTAATACCACCTTTATCTTGGCTTCATTAGATTAGGAGGTATTTCCTCATTTAAATTCCATGGAAAAGTTTATGTAGAATTATTATTAAGGTCTTACTTATGTATTTGGTAAACTTCACTAGTAAACTGAACTAGAGTTTTTCTTTGTGGGATAGTTTTGAACTATATATACGCATATGTGTGTCTATGTGGCATATGTATCAGAGGGAAGAAGGAGAGAGGGAGGAGAGAGACCCAGAATGAGAGTTAAAAAAGAGACTCTTTTGTTACTGATTCAGGCAGAGATCTGGTTTCTTTTACTTTTTGTTTGCCAGAATCAGAAGTCAACTCTTTTATTTTGCAAAACAAATTAAACTTCTTTTCCAATCCACCTAAGTAGTACAAAGACGGTGATTTTAAATAGGTTATAAATGTAAAGAAGCTAAAAGAATGCCTGAGAATTGGGGGAGGGGGGAGAAGCATGTTTTATATATGCAGCATTTAGAGATCTAGTTTTGATATCCACTGGCATCAGAAAATAAGAATGGATTATATTTATTATGCATTTGTGTTGAACAAAGACAGAAATTCCTGGAAGGGATATTTGTGAAATAATGCAATGAAGGGTGGAAATATCCTTCCAGAAGAATATGTATGATTAATAATACTTTTGATTGACTTTGAGTGAGAATGTTGCTATTCTGCCAGGAAGCAATAAGGAAACCAAATTCACTTGTCCTCGAACTTCTAAGTAGGGACTGGCTTCATTGTGATCAGTTGAGAATCATAAAACATAAATGAATGTTCTTCACACTCATCTCACTAGGCAATTTTCAATATTGAGACTAATTAAGAAGGAGGTGTGATCCAGGAATCAATAT